CGGCAGCAGGCGCCGGTTTGCTTGCGTGCCAGCACCTGCACCCGGTTGCCTTCGCCCTGCCTTACCGGCGGGCCACCCGAGTGTGCCCGGGCGTTCGTGTGGTGGGAGACGCCGCTGCTCCGCACCGTGCCGGGGAGAGCGCTTGGGCGTTTCTGGGCGCTCCCCTGAAAACAACCCCGCTGACTCGAGCACTAAACCCGCAGAAATCAGCTTGCTTGCTACCTGGAGATGTGTACCGTCTTAACTGCCGAAATTTAACATTGAAAACTTACTGCTTGGCCAGGAAGAACCATAAAGACAATCCTCTTTGTCCAGGTCTGAGGGCTAGGACGCTTGCATGCTTGCTTAAATTTGTAAAAGATTTTTTGGAAGGGATAGGTGCAGCCAGGTTGTGGTGCAATTTTCCTTGCATCATTGAGTTTCCTCACATCAGTCTGTCTGGCACCATGTTGCTACTCAAATTTCTTGCCCGAGATGGCTTATACGTACCAAACTGTCTTGTCTATTTTAAGGGGTTTGGTAAATACCTTAAAACGTAGGAAGGGCTGCTGCATTTGTATAGTTTGCACATGGAGTATACAAAATGTGCAGCGCGCTGACTTTCTGCTTCAGTATTGGGAGCTGCGCGCTTTTGTGGTCACAGCTCTTTGTGTGATGTTGTACACTGATGATTCTAGGCTTCAAAGTTCAATGTGATGTTGCTCTATTTAATTGTAGTTAGTGTAGTTTACATCAGTATGAATCGGAGTACTGGGCTTGTCCTCAGTGCATGGTTTGCCCCTGCCTAGTCTCTTTATTTTATATGCAGGTCCATAAAAAAGCTGAGTATCTTGGGAGGATAGTAGATAAACGCATGGGTGCAGGCAGGGATGTGCCATCTCGGAGTGCCTCAGCCCTGCAGGAAGGTAGAAGAGTTTAAGGATAACTTCTGAGTCACTGAAAAGACATCTAATTCAAGTGACAGTTTTTATTCCCTCCCTGCTCTGGGAGTGGTGCCCCAATTTGTCTGAGGGCTTTAATTGCATGTATTCATCCCTTCCAGAGTTGCCAGTTCCTTTCTAACTTTGAATTTCAAATATCTTAACTTCTAACGTTTCTTTTTGGTTGGCATCTTCCTTGCTGCTGTGAAGTATGAGAATTCTTTGGCAGTGTGAGGATCTTGTGAGTGGTTTAGTTGTGCTGTTTCTATAAATAACATTAGTGCCATGGTGATTTTCTGCCTTGTGCATTTCGGTAATGAAATCTGATTATGCCATATAAATCACCTGTGCATGCCCCGTGAAATGCTGACCTGCTGCCACCCGTGGGTGCCGAATCCTTTACCTCTGGCAAAAGTCTCTCATCCACCAGAATGCTCTGTGCTTACACCTGCACGCCTGTCTCGGTTTGCGTCCCCTTTTCTTCCTGGGCATGTTATTCAATCCAGCCTGACATTCTGCAGGCTAGGAGGATGCACCATAAAACAAAATGCCTTTTTACTTCCCGGCAGATGGTTTCTTTGCTTGCCACGCTGCAGGAGCGGCTGAGAGGAACCGTTCTGCAGGGACTGGAACTGCTCTGTTGGAGGGAAGCGCTGTCTGGATGCTGCTTAACAATCCTGTCTTTCTGCTGAAGCCCTTGTCTGTCAGTATTGTTCCTCAGCCCTTTGCTTCCTCTGCCTCCTCTTCCGCCGCGCAGGAAGCGGCTGGTTAGATGAATGGAGTTTGTAAAGCATTGTTAGTATTGCAAAGCATCCCCTTCAGCAGTGTAAAAAGCGTCCGTTAAGAACAAGGATGCAGAGTTCAGAACTCTGAAGTTCCAGTTAAACATGTGGGAACTGTCCTCGGAGAGCTGGCTAGAAAACTTCTGCATTGTGTAATTTTTAGGAAAGTCGGATAAACTTCCTGTTTCCCAGGCAGTTCTATTAATAAAGTCATTCTTTTTTCTGCCCCATCCTTAGCTAATAATGGCACCTTGACGCTTGAGATAACTAATGTGAAGTCACGCTCAAGAAAAGTGCTTAAGCGTCAAGACAAAAACCTTTTTGATGTATCAGTGTTTGGAGACCAACTTAGGCATAAATCACATGGATTGCTTGTGATTAGTAAATTACTTGATGGCTCTGGTGTGTTTTATTTTTCCTTCCATGCAACAGTACATTTGATATGGGAGTTACCTTCTACCATTTGGGAGACGGATGGAGAAAATATTAGACTCGTAATGTGAGGTTATCGCCAATCTTAGCTGTGAGTTGCTAATCTCTTTGCGTCAGTAGGCTAAAAGTCCTTGTGGTAACAATAATAGTTTTGGGCTGCAACTTGAAAAGAAAATGAGCAATATTTTGGGTCCTTCAATGCTTGAGAGTTCTTACTGAGATAAAACCCTTTGTAGCATTCTTGGAAAATTGCTGCCTTCTGTTTTAGAGGCGGCCTTCTGTGGTGGGGGACAGAAGGGGTTGTACTTAAATGTCCTTTGAGGTGGAATTTGCTTATGTAAACGATGTGATTTTTTTTTAACCCATGCTGTTATCTTTAAACCATTTGACAAATACAGTCTGCCAAATCACTGAGCCTTCTAACGAAATGCTTGTTTGTGCTGGTTGGGATGAAGCAATTCACATACTGCACTTTGAGCAGTAAAGTGATAACCATGTGAACATTTTTTTTAACAGCTTTCTTGTACTGCTGTGTAGAGGGGTAGGTTTGTACTGCTAAATCACATCTACCTCTGGAATTGTCCATCTCCTTTCACTATTACTTTCTGACTTCCCTCGTGAAAATATTTCTATAGACCTATGGAACTAGAAATATGCACTTAATGAAAATACGGGTAGTTGAACCGGAACTACATTTTCTACTTCATCTTTGGAGATGTCTTATTGTTGAAAGGATGTATAATTGTAGTATTTGTGTATTTGCTAATATAACTGTTTTCCCACTGATCCTGATTAACTGCAGGGCTGGAGTGCTATTCTAAAACCTCATCTCTGCTGAAGTTCCAGACAGTTTGAACTGGTGGAATTCATCCCAGCTGCCTAAAGACAGACTGAAGTGGTGAACTTTGCCTGCAGCTATCTCTTCTGTGGTGGTGCTGAGCATCTTCTGGTGGACTAATTCTCTCGGCTTTAAGAAACAGAGCAAACATAACCCTTGTCTCTTTTCAGTTGCAACTGTCCAGCTGCCTCTGCTGTTAATGATGATGTCCTCTGTGGCCTTGTGAGGCTTTCTTCTCCCGAGTTCATATATGTGACTGCCTATTGCTGCCTCGGTATCAGCTTCCCTATATGAAACTACATCAGCTCCCATTCTGCTGAAATCTTCACATTTGCTTTCATCACCTCTTTCTTTGGCTGGTATCTCCTCTCTGATTTGGTGCTCCAAACTCCCACACAAGTTCTGTTGTTCACTTTTTGTGTGCTGAAGAAGCATAACTGCACTGCTGCAGCCGGACTCTGTAGTGTTCTGTTTGCTTCAGGCCTCTCCTCTGAATGCTTTTGCTTTTTAAGTATGAGTCTTGGACTTTTCCAGCTGTCAGAGAGCACTGTACCTATGCTGTTCTTGGATAGCTGATCAGTTAGTTCTTTCGCAAGTGACTCCATGGATGGGTTGAGAAATGCATTCTATTGCAGCAGTTGCAATGGTGAAAAAGTTTAATCTTATTTCTGATCAATACTTTATCTTCTATCATGACGGCATGTAGTTTGTCCTTTCAGACTCTCTGTTTCTGTAACTATTTTACTCTCCAAGACTTTTGAATACTCTGTATTATACTCTGCATAACGTACTAAA